GCTTGCAAGGCAGGCAGTGGAACCGCTGAGCTAAATCCCCGGCCCAGCAGCATCTCGATGTACATGTGAGTGATGAACTGGAGTGTCCCAGGATTCCTGGGAGAGGGAGGAAACTTCCTTCGGCCAAGTGTTTCCATGAGTGGCCTCTGCCTGGGCATTTACTCTCAGTGAATGGGTGGATCTCTGTGGTCAGCTGCTGGAGATCCTGGAATATGGGCATCAATGTAGAGGGTTGCTGCTGGCTGCACAGCCCTCATGTCCTTACCTTTCTTCTTCTAATGTCCTGGTGGCTGATGAGCATTTGCTTCTCTGGCCGATGAAGGGCTGGTATGTGGTTCTCTGCAGGAAAGAGGAGCCCACGCTCAGTGTGGCTGCTGTCTCTGTCCACCCCAGAGGACCACCTTAGTGGGGGAGCCAGGCAGGGGCCACCTACCAGGATGGTGAAATGTTTGATATCATCTGTGTCTGTCCTTTGCTGCTACCAGTTATTGCTGCTCTCTCCCCTCCCCTTCCTCAAAGCAACTTTGCTCCAGGCAGTTTCGGCCCACAGAGGCGGCTGTGACCTCCAGCTTTCCGCATTCTATCAAGGCTGTCCAGCTGGAGGAACCCCTCCCATTGCCCCCTCTGAAACCCACAGAGGAAGCCAGGGGTCACCTGCCAGCAAGGAGCTATGGGGCTGGGCTGGGCTCAGAGCCAGAGGCTGATGGGAATAGGCTAAGTGTCCCGAGTGGCCTGGATGGAGTCAGGGGACATGGTCCTACTCTGGATGGAGAAGCTGGAGGTGAGGCTGAACTAAGGAGAGGAGATGCTCTATGCCAGCACCTTTCTTCCCCATGGCAGCCCCCTACTGGTACCCTCCCCTGCCCTTTATCTACCTGTCCCACCACCCGGCTGGAGGCTGCCCCCCTTGTCCTTGTTTCTCCATCTGCCAAATGAAAGTTTTCCACTTGTCCTCACTGGAGATGGGGTAGGGGGCACCTCTGGCCTCGCAGGGGCTGGGAGGGGTAGATGTGAATTAGGAACCCTCTCTAGCCGAGGACACAGCCCTTCACTCCAGCAGGCAGGAGCTTCAGGTGCAGCTATGGGTGTGCAGGGGACTTGTCACCCACCCTGGGGGAGAAAGCCTTCGGCCCAGCCCTATAGCCGTTCCTTCCAGTCCTCTCTGGGAAGCAGGTTTCTGGTTCTAAAGTAGAGGCACACAGATTCAGTTCAGAGAAATCGACTTTATTTGCTGAAAAAGTGCGTCTCATGTAAAATAAACACCAGTCCAGAACTGGTTTGAGGGAATGAGCAGTACTGAGGGACAGTGAGGGTCAGGCTGTGTGCCTCAGATCTGAGGGCAGGGTGGGGGTGTGTTTCTCAGGAAGGAGGGTGGCAAAAACTCACTTCATCCCACTCCAGGGGAGACAGGAGCAGAAATGGTGTTGGCACTATTTCCAGCCCTGAACAGAACCTAGGGACAAGCTACCCTGGGTATGTCAGAGGCTGGGGATGAGGTGGTTCTCAGGGTCTGGGGTCAGGAGGTTGGAGGTTGTTCTTTGGGGTCAAGGGGGCAAAGATGGGAGGGCTCCTCAGGGTCAGAGGGCAGGGGCTGCGGGGACTGTTCTCTGGAGCCAGACATCAGGGCTTGGGAGCTGTCTTCTGCCTGCACCCCTCCCCAGACCCCCAGGCCCTCTGAGTACAGCTCCTGGTTCTGCTCCTTCCACCTGCGAAACTTCTCTGCAGTCAGCTCAGAGTCACCTAGCACTTCGTCCAGGGCCTGCAACTCCTGCATCTTTGCCTGCAAAGGGGACAGGAGGCAAGAAGCTATGATCACCCAAGGAGGGGGCACAGCCTGAGCCCAGAGTTAATTCCAGAATCCTACAGCTAGAACCCAGCACCTGGCCAGCCTGGCACAAGGAGCCTGGATGAGACTTCAGATCCTAGCTCAGAACCTAGAACTTGGCTCCACAGCTGAGCTCAGAGCAGAGCCTGTAGTCTGGAGCCCAGGGAAGAGCCGAGAGCCAGTCACTGAAGCTTGAAACCCAGAGCTGGGTCCCTTGCCACGTGGGTGTCCCCAGCTGACCTTGAGTGTACTCTGTAGTGCCCGCACGCGGTGCACGCACTCATTGAGGTGGGGGTCTCGATTGCGCCGCATGAAAGAACTCCGCCACTGCTCCTGGGTCAGGGGCTGTGGCCGGCCCAGGAGCGACACGCCGCCCTGCCTCAGGCCCCGAACCATTCCTTCCAGTGCCCCTTCACTGCTGTCTGTGGGAGGAGGGAGCAGAATGAGGCTGTGCCCACTGCAGCCCCCAGCCCAGTGCCTTGCTCCCAGCTCCAGCTTGGCACCTGCTGGGGCATTGAAGGAGGTCCTCGGGCTGCGCTTCATCGGGGAGGCTGAGGGTGAGGTGTCTTCGTGGAGTGGACTCCAAGACTGCACTGGGTTGGGCTGAAAGAGGGGAGGAGAGGAGGGCACCAGCCTGAATCCCTCATGCTGCTATTTACCCCCACCTCCCACCCCAGAGCGGTCCCCTACTTACTGAGGCTGAGCGGGACCCAGCTTCATCATCGTGGTCTTCTGCTTCTGTTTCACTGTAGCAGTCTGGAGTGAGGAGCAGCAGTTGGCGAACCCAGCAGAATCTCTAATGAGATCCAATTTCCTCTTCCCACTCCCGTGAGATACCTACCTTCTTCTGGAGCTGACGGGGTCCGGCCTGGGGACTGGTACTTGGAAATGCAGGTAATGAGGTGGCGTACCCACCTGTGGAGGTGTGAACAGGGGATCACACATGTTAGGCTCATGCTCTGCCATGACACTACATCCCCCGGCCTTTTCATTTTTTTGAGACAGAGAATCCCTAAGTTGGTCAGGCTGTACTTGAATTTGAGATCCTCCTGCCTCAGCCTCTTCAGTAGCTGAGATTACAAGCATGCACCATCATGCCCAGCTCATCTTCTTTTTCATCAGAGGCCTGGAATTTGGTCCTAGCTCCCAAGCACTCAGAAGCTGGGACCTTTGTGGCAATAGGGCAGGGGCAGTGGCACTCACATGCTCAGATCAGAGAGGGTATCAGCCGCAAAAACAAAGGGTTTGTACACCTCATGGGTGAGCTGGAACACACTGCCAGGGAGCAAAAGGGCATCACTTAGCCTCCTCCTGGCTGTGCGCATCCAGAGTCCCAGGTATCCCACCATCTGCCACGCACCCACCCCACCAACCACTCTTTCTTGCCCCATCCCCCAGCCCATCACACTCCAGGACTTAACTATTTCTTCTTCTGATCATGTCCACTTTCCAGACTATAGTTGGAGACATTGATGAGGCCCTGGGCCTTTTCGTCCTGAGGGGTCACAGCATAGGGTCAGCTTGGAGGGCAGGTACCCTCCTGGCCTGGTCAGCTCCTTAGTTACCTCTCGGGCTCCCAAGGGAGGTGGAGGGGAGAAGGGTTTCCAGGGCTTTTACCACAGCTCTCTGTTTCTGAGGCTCACAACAGGAGGTACCTCTGAGCCAAGAAAGGGAAACAAAGACATCCAGAGAAACACCAATGGCTGGGGATGCAGCTCAGTGGCAGAACACTTGCCCAGCGTGTGCTAGGCCCTGGGTTCAATCCTCAGCAAAGAAAGAAAGGAAGAGTGGAAGGGAAGAAAGAGGAGGAAGGGAGAGAGGAGAGAAAAAGGGAGGGTCAGGCAAGAAAGGGGATCCTGCTTATGCATTAGTTCCTTTGTAGAGACCCAAGAAGCTGCTTGAGACCAATGAGCTGTGCAAATGCTTTTTCTCTTCCTGGTTTTCTTTCCTCTTTCATCTAACTAACTTCTAGGTATTGCTTTCTCAGAGAAGCTTCTGGAAGCTGGAAGGGACACCTCTGCTGGGCTCACACACATCAGCTTTTCCTTTATCTTAATACATGTCCCCCACTTTGTCCTTGAGAATGTATCTATCCCTCTCCCCTGCCAGTCTCTAAATTCTGGAGAGACAGAAACTGTCTATTTCCTGTGTCCTCGATGTCTAGTCCAGAGCTGGGTTTATGTTGAATGAAAAAAATGATCAAATGGTTCATCACTAGGATGGACAGAATATCACAAGAAGGGGTCAGATGAATAGAATAAAAGTGATTTTTTTCTATATTTCCTATACCTTCTCCAAACTTCCTTTTTTTGGGGTGGTATTGGGAAATGAAACCTAGAGCTACAACTTCAGCTCCTGCACACCTCCCAGAAGTCAGGAGGCTGAGGCAGGAGGACTACCATGAGTTTGAGGCCAGCCTTGGCTACATAGTGAGTTCAAGGCCAGCCTGGACTACATAGCAAGACCCTGTCTCAAAAATAAATAAATGAGGCCAGGGATTTAGCTCATTGGTTTCATTGCCTGCTGCACAAGTGCAAGGACCCCGAGTTCGATCCCCGGTACCAAAAAAATTAAATAAATAAATAAA